TTTTAGGGATTGGCTAGCTTCACTAAGCATAATCTGCTCTAGTGCCATCCATTTCCCTGCAAATTCCATGATTTTGTCATTTTTTAGTGCTGCGTAATATTCCATGGTGTATAAATGCCACATTTTTTTTATCCATTCATCTATTAAAGGGCATCTGGGTTGGTTCCACAGTCTAGCAATTGTGAATTGTGCTGCTATGAATATCGATGTGGCAGTATCTCTGTAGTATGCTCTTTTAAGGTCTTCAGGGAATAGTCCAATCTCCCTTCTATTTTCATGGAATTCTCTCTCCCTTTTTTCCTTATTTTGATCTATTTTTCACATATGAGAGAAAACATTGAACCCTTGACTTTCTGAGTCTGGCTTATTTCACTTATCATGTTTTTCAGTTCCATCCATTTATCAACAGGTGCTATAATTTTATCCTTTATGGCTGAGTAAAACTCCATTGTTAATATATACCACATTTTCTTTATCCATTCATGTGTTGATAGGCACTTGGGCTGGTTCCATAACTTGACCATTAAGTTGCACTGCTATAAACTGATGTGTGTGCATCACTATAGTATGCTGATTTTAGTTTTTTAGGATAAATACCAAGGAGTGGTATAACTGGGTCGTACGGTGGTTCCATTCCTAGTCTTTTGAAGAATCGCTATGCTGCATTCCAGAGCAGTTGTATTAATTTGCAGTCCCACCAAAAGTACAAGAAATAAAACCAAGAATCAGTAAGAGGGATGGCATCAAATTAAAAAGCTTCTGCACAGCAAAGGAGAGGGCCTACAGAATGGGAGAAACCTTTGCCTGCTGCTTCCTGACAGAGGATTAGTATCCAGAATATATAAAGAACTCAAAAAATTTTAACACTAAAGAAAAAAAAAACCCGATTAATAAATGGGCATAAGAGCTTAACGGACACTTCTCAAAAGATGCAATGCAGATGGCCAACAAAATTATGAAAAAATGTTTATACTATTCTTTTTAAAGACTATGATACATAATTATACAATCAGAACAAAGTGTGGACCCATTACAGCAGGTAAAGTTTTTGGGCCTTTGAAAGTCTTTCCATTAATAAGAATTGCTTGATTTATCATGAAAGATGTAGAATATTCTGTAGCCCAGCTCTCTACTTTGTGTCTGCCTCAACTTGGCACATTCTGGTGATACTTAGATGTTTAAGAGTTCTCAGCACAAAAAGCCATGTTATTGCCTGCTTCTGTGCCTTTGTTCACATGGGTTTTTCTCTCTGAAATCTCACCCTCATCTTTCCTTGAATGGCTGGTCATTCACCAAGAAAGAGTACTCCTTTTGTGCCCTTTCAGGGCAAAGTTATGGACTGTATCAGTGTCTCTCCCCCAATTTCTTATTGAGCATCTGCAGAAGTTTAGAGAGAGGTGAATGAGATTTGTTGTTATTTATCAAGTTTTTATTGTGATAATGCTACATAACAGCCCCCAGATATCAGTAGTTTACATTTATTTCTTGCTGTGGGTTTATGGGTCGGCTGTAGTTCAACTGATCTTGCCTGGGCTCATCTTTTTAGGGTAATGGAGCTGGCTAAATGCAGCATTCACTTCTTATGGCAGAAGACAATTGCCAAGTGACCCATCCAGACCATGTTTGTATGCATAGTTAAAGTCTTTGCTGAATCACGTCTGTTAATGTTCTGCTTCTTATAGCAAGTGAATTGACCAAGTCCAGTTCAGCAGGTTAAGGAAGCATGCTCTGCCCCATGAGAAGGCACTGTAGATTCCACTGGTGAAGGGCAGAGGACAAGGATAAATTATTCTGTTATAGGGGCAGTCAGAACTTGGAAAACTACCATGTTTCATGATAGCTTTCTCTGGCTCTCTGTTAGGTGGCCTATTGGCACTGATTTTGTTTCTCTACAGAAGAATATCACTCCTGTTTGGCAATGTGCACCAATGGCTACAGTTCCTTCTGTAGTCCTTGTTAACCATTCTTTTCCTTGCCACTCCATGTCGAGTACTTGTAAAATGCCCTTCTGTGCTGGCTCTGGGCTTTAGCATCCCTTGGTGTTTTCCTTATCTGTACATCTATACCTTTGTAAATAGTCACTTCTTTAAATTGTCCTCAGGCACCCAATTTAAATGTGCATGCTTCCTAAAGGGATTCTAACTGATAATCTTTATAGTCTTTATGCTCTTGTGGTTCCTTGTATTTATTGCTTTTTTTTCATTTGCCATATTAAGTTATTATTTATAGTATTCTTTCCTTTGAAGCTTTCCAAAGGGAGGAGTTGTGTGATTATTTGGAACCATAATACCTAACACATTGCCTAGCATATAGGGACTTCCTAATAGTATTGAGAAATGCAGATAAAGAGAGCACTCTCCTTTTTCTTCTCAAAACAGAACTATATATAAAATCTCAAATTATAAGACAGCTGAGCCTGTTTGGTTAAAGCATGATTCCAGAAGAACTGGAGGTTGGTAGCCCAGTCCACTCAGCCTCTTCTTATGCCTTGGCAGCGTTCTTTTAGGGAGCTCCTGTGCCAGGCATCTAGTGAACACAGGTTGAAGTCTGCTGGTTTATGGATAATCTCACAAGTTACTTCTAGTTCAGTTTTTTTTTTTTTTTGTGTGTGTGTCTATTATTGGAAATCTTGAGCAAATACTTGAGAACCAAGAGAAAAAAAAATCCTCAGAAACAACTAGTTTGAATTGGATTTTGAGCCCCTAGGTTTATCTATGCCATGGAAAATGGGAAGGGGGCAGTTTATTTTTTGTGGAAAAGACATCAGACTTTGGAATTAATTAGACTTTTGTTTCAAATTCTTGCTTCATCATTTACTAACAACCATGATTTCTCATTGTAAGTTAGAGTTAGTGTAGGACTTGGAAGAAATAACACATTTACAGATTTTCAGCATGGATTCTTATAGACTGTAAAGTCTTAGTAAGTGTAGTCTTATTAGTTTTTATTATTAAAGTTGTCCAGTCTGGCATAATATGACATTCAGGGGAACTAGTTTGATGTCCCAGTTTTCATCATAATGTTTTCCAGAACAATTTTTTGGTACTTTGATTTATTTAAAAATATAATAAAAACTGTAGTGCTGAGAAGTCATCTTCCTCCCTGCCCCCCCCCCTTCCCCATGGATGTTAAAATTCCAGCTCATGATATGGTCTGTTTGCTTTAGGGGATGATGAACAGAGTGATTGGTTCTATGAAGGAGAATGTGTTCCAGGATTCACTGTCCCTAATCTTCTGCCTAAGTGGACTTCTGATCGTTGCGCTGAAGTAGAAAGAATGGATTCTGGACTGGATAAACTTTCAGATTCCACGTTCCTTTTACCTTCTCGACCAGCTCAAAGAGGTAAGTTTGGAGAAAACTAAAATATAATTCATGCCTTCGTAGTTCTTTTTGGGAGGAATCATGTCATTGTCAAGGATACTCATGCCTCTAAGCATGCAGTACTATCTGAATGGTGGAGATAGTACACCATTCAGGGGTTTCTGGAGGATTCAAGGGTGAGTCTTAGCTTGAGATTCTCTGCATTCTTACCTGATTCAATCTGTGAAGATTCTTAGAATATATATTAACAAGGCATTTCTTCAGCTTGAAGCTGAAGAAATGCCTTGTTAATGTATATTCTAAGAATCATCATTACTCATGATGGGTTATTGACTATTCATTGGAAATCTGTCTCTTGGAAAAGAACAGATTTCAGTAAGAACATCCACCTACAAGGTGCAATGGTACTTTTTAAATGGAAGATTTTTATTTTAATGATTCTATTATTGCATACTTAAGCATAAATATATGTCCTTTTCTTTTGCTTTTTTTTTTTTCTTTTCAATTGTGAGGTAGCACAGTGGGGTGAAAAACTCAGCCCAGGATGGGGAGAAGGAAATGTCATGTATTCTTTGGTACTTTCTGCTACCTCTGTGGTTGCTTCATTTCCTTCAGTTTCAGGGGCCTTGCTTAAGATATGTGAAGTTGAACAAAACTGTTTTTTTTTTTTTTGCGGGGGGGGGGGTTCTTTAGCTCTGTAAATTTATAACTCTAGGATTCCCAGTAACCAATAATCAACCTATTAGTCAGTTATCAAGTATTTGTTGATTATTGTTGTAGGTGGTCAGGGTTACACTAAGAGCTATAAATAACTATGAAATAGGATTTTATTTTGATGAATTTTGGAGTTTGATAGACTTTCTCAAAGCAGTGAATACTTGGTAAAGATTATTGCCTGGCTGAGGCACATTCTTTGCTACCCTATTAAATTCTATCAAACATTTCAATGAACATTTCTTTTTTTCTTCTCTTTTTTATTTTTTCTTTTTTATGGTGCTGGAGATTGAACCCAGGGCCTTGTGCATGCTAGGCAAGCACCCTATCAACTGAGCTATATCCCCAGCCCCCTTCAATGAACATTTCTATAAGTTCTTTTTGGACCACTTAACATAGGCACAAAAAGTAAAACAAAAACAAAAACAAAAAACAAATGGCTTGCAATCCCAGATCCCGAAACCATGTCATTGATAACATTGTTGTGTGAATTCTTCCTGTTCTTTCTGTGTGGAGAACACGTAGGACAGTTAAGAAAATGGGGTTTTTAGGGCTGGGGTTGTGGCTCAGCGGTAGAGCGCTTGCCTAGCACCTGCGAGGTCCTGGATTTGATCCTTAGCACCACATAAAAATAAATAAAATAAGGATATCATGTCTAACTACAACTAAAAAATAAATATTAAAAAAAAAAGAAAATGGGGTTTTAGTGTGCATTCTCTTTTCACCATTACTTTGTAATATTAGAATGCTTTTGAGATTATAACTAGCATTTAATTTAAAATTAAAAATTGTTAATATACCTTATATTTACATAGCATTTGCAGTTTATAAAGAACCTTCCATATGCTATTTCATTGGGTCTTCAAAACAACTCTATAAAGTAGGACCAAGTATGTAGGTGCGGATGCCTAGGTAAAAGGTGTGCCTAAGATCATTCAGCTAGTGACAAAGACATGGGAACAAGTCCTTGGCAAATAACACTCTGAAGATCCTGGGTGTAAGGGCTCCAGTGTACTAGAAACATCTCCCTGTGTATGGATTTTCCACATTCAGTAACCGAGGCCTTCTTTTTCCAGGATACCATGCTCGTTTGAATCGTCTGCCAGGGGCTGCAGCACGATGCCTCAGAAAGGGGCGAAGAAGGCTGGTTGGGAAGGTGACAGCTTTCATGGTTTCCTGGGTGCCTTAGGAAGATGAAACTCCCCATGGGATTTGTGTATCCTATTGCTGGTTGGGAAGGTGACAGCTTTCATGGTTTCCTGGGTGCCCTAGGCAGATAAAACTCCCCATGGGATTTGTGTATCCTATTGGTGATCAAAGATGCTATAGAACTCCCTGGTGTTAGGGAAGCCAACTGGAATGTTTTGGGAGTTTGCAAGAGTGAACATGTAGGATTTAAGTTTATACACACATAAATGATAAAAATGTAATCCACACAGGAGTTCTGACAAAGCAGATATTCTCTTCACAGCCTCTATTGTGAATGCATCTACAGGCCTGATCTCTTGTCTCTCTGCACTTTTGATTAATCATCATTATTATGGTTTAAGTTAAAATACTCTTGGCTCTTTAACAACTTGTGTGTTAAGGAATGTTTCTTTGTTATATTCTAACTTTGGTCTTTTTATCCTAGAATTCATTAAAACAAAACAAAAATCTCTGTTATCAAATTACAATATCCCCTCCTTGGCCACAAGAGAGGAGTCTCTACGGTCTCTAGTTCTGCTTAGCCAAGACTGTGATAGACACTTGGCTTATTTCACTCCTCCCTACGATCTTGTCAAAATGTTAATAGTTTCTTTTTTAAAAAATATTTATTTTTTAGGTTTAGTTGGACACAATGCCTTTATTTTATTTACTTATTTTTATGTGGTGCTGAGGGTCAAACCCAGGACCTCGCACATGCTAGGCGAGCGCTTTGCCGCTGAGTTACAACCCCAGCCCTGAAAGTTCCTTTTATAGATGAGAAAAACTTAGGTTCAAAGAATTTAAGTAATGTCTGATGTTACCTGGATTGTAGTGACAGAATAGATATTGGAATCCAGAGCTACTTTATTTATTTTTTTATTTTTTACCCCAGCTTTGAGACCAAGAGACAGGCAAAGACAAGGGCTAATACTTACTTGAAGATGAAGGTAGGTGAGGGATAAGAAAGAGAGACATTTGAGAGCATTGATTTGTTTGTTCTCTCAGCATTTAGAATGCCTGCTATATAGGCTCTGTGCTGAGCTAGGTATATAGCAGTCAGCCATAGTCTGATTTCTCTTAAGGGACTGGTGCACCCTGCCCCAGTATTGGGGATTGAACCCAGGGGTGCTTTATCACTGAGTTACATCTCTAGTCTCCTTTACATTTTTTTTTTAAGACAGGATCTTACTGAGTTGCCCAGGTTCACTCAAATGTGTGATCCTTCTGCCTTAGCCTCATAGCTAGGATTACAGGTGTGTCCACTGTGCCAGGCTTCAGGGAACTATATTCTGAAATTTTAGCCATGCAAAAGAAATGGGGCTGTTTATTTGTAGACAACTCAGATTCTTACTCCTTATTTTTAAATTCTAATTTGAATCTCACTAAGTAGTAAGATTTGATTATTGGAAGAATGATAACTTGATCTTTTTGGGTCATTCACTTTTGAGACTATTAATAGAGTGCTGTGTTTGCTGTTTTGGGAGTTTATAGGACAGCTACTGGAATAGAAGTATATATGGTTGAGGGAGGTAAGAGGTTAGGAGTGGGGAACAGACAGGTGGGATTATTTTTTCTCTTTATTGGTTAGGTTGGACAGATGAGGTTCTCCCTACCACCTGCTTTTCTTTCTTTCAGCTCTTATAAAATAAGAGCCTTCTACTTCCATGGAAGTGAGTCAGTTCATCTCTAACTGACTTCAGCTTGCCTGGGAGGGAACTAGGGCCTATTGGACAAGCCTCTAATGATTTCAAATGAATAGGATAATATTTACTTGTTTAATTCATCTTCATCACCTTAAAGGGATATTTGTCATTTCTAGCAGAGGTCACTGCTCTGCCCCCCCTTTTTCCCCTTCCCCAGCCTTTCCTCTTTTTTTAAATTGTAATCATAAATAATGAGTTTCATTCACAGCTCCCTGCCAGCGAGCTGCTAATTACGCAAAGTACTGCTTGTAATTTACACAGTAATAAACTGTAAATTTAAACATTACGGCATTTTAAGTTAGTAATTTTTCTGCCGTAGCAAATAGCTCATTTTTCACCCATCTTTTCCCTTGGCCCTCTACCATTCTGTGTCTGTAAGTAGGCGGCATAGCTGTAGGAATAAGAAATATGAAAAATGCATGTGTGAAACCTGGTCATTTAGTTACACTCTTTTCCAGAATCTGACCTCAGATTAATTTTTCTATAGCCAGTGGTTCTGTTAAAATATGTATCCTAATGTTTAGGCTAGTCCATACACATAATGAGTACAGATAACAATACTTGTCCAGAAACAAATGTGTTTGAGTAACAGTCTTGCCAATCTTGACATTCATGACTCATGTTCTCTTAACACTTACACACAAGTGTGTAACCATTATTCACATAGGGGTTGGTGTCCTTTTTTAGGTACTGTAATAGATAGTCATTATGAACGTACTCAAGTTCAATGAACAGTGAGTGCCTTCTGCTATTTTCTAATTTTTTGGAGATGATTAGTTTCTGAATTGCTTATAGTGTTATGGGTAAGTGTTCACATTACAGTCTTGAGAATCCTGAATTTACAAGTCAGCTTTTACAAGTTTAAGTTTCTGTTTTTACTTTGAGATGTTGTTTAATGGATTAGGTACAGGGTGACAATTTTTATAAGTCACAAAAGTCCTGTGATATGTATTCATTTAGTTAGCAGCTATTTAGGGTTTACCAGTGAGAACTCATTTTTTTTCCCACTGTGAAGTTTTCTCACATGTGAGTGGGGCTACACTCACATGGCTGACTCAACTTTGTGTGCTGGCCTGTTAAATATTGGCTGCTGTTGAATTTTCTGCAAAAGTGTTTCTGCTATATACATTAGTAACCACAGTATGCATAAAGAAACGATGTATACATGTATTGAAGTATCACTATGGTACTACTAATGTGTCTAATTTTTAGGTTGTATATATCGATTAGAATAAAAATCACATTAAACACTATTTATAATGTCTTTGGATCAGTAGAGAATTAATAAGGAATAATATGTAATACTTTTCAGATAGATTCCCATTAAAAAAAAATAAGAGTTGCTATTGGGTTACAAGATTGACATTTGAACTGGGTCCTATGGCACACACCTGTAATCCCAGCTACTCAGGAGGCTGAGGCAAGAGATTGCAAATGTGAGGCTAGCTTGGGAGATTTAGCAAGACCTTGTCTCAATATAGAGAGGGCTGGAAGTGTAGCTTAGTGGTAGAGCATTTGTCTAGCATTGTGAGGCCCTGGGCTTGATCCCCAGGGGTAACAAAACAAATGACATTTGAGCTGTTCATTTGAGGTTGCTTCAGGTGGCACAATTATGGGAAAGTGTGAACTTAGAAACATTGTACTTTGTATATTTGCTTCTGTGGTGGGATGTTACTCTTTTTTTTCCTTGCCTTTTTAGGAGTCCAGCATAAGTACTCTGGGTACTGAGAGGATAAGCCATATCATCAGTGACCCCCGGCAGAAAGAGTAAGTGCTGAAGTGTTTACTGGCTGTGCACACTGTTCTTTGGAGAAGGAAACAGAGGAGGTTTTATGAAGCAACCTAGTGTCAGGCTACAGAGCTGAAAGAGGTGATCTAAAAGATATGTTCTTTATAATAGTTAAGATGGCCAGAACCATGACAATGATTTTCTTTCTAGACTAGTTTGTATTTTCTTGGTTTTTATGTTTCTAGGTGTTACATTAATGTCTGCCAACATTTCTACCTCTTGTTTTTAAATGAGTGATTTTTCTCTATTCTGTTTTTTTTCCCATTTTTAGACCTCTTTATAGAGAAAATCTCTTCTGTCTAATCACTTTGATAAGTGCAGTGGAAAGCCTGTATGTAGCTATAGGAGAATCATCTACACATTCTTAATGAGAGCCTTGTCACCTAGCATGGTTGGCTCTTCCATGTTTCTTGCCTGTATGACTTATGGTTAGTACCCAGTTATGATCTTGTATGCATTCAGCCCAGTCTGATTTTTAATTTATAAAATAGGCAAGATGTGTACATAGTTTATGCCCCTTTAAGCCCCTCTTGAACTGAAACTCCCATTGTCATTGCACAGCAGAGAGAACATTGATGTTGCTCTGTGACCTTGGGTTTATTGTAGTTTGCCCAGTCATTTACATTCCATTATGAGGCTTTGAAGAGTTACTTTTTTTTTTTTTAACCCTTATTTTATTTATTTATTTTTATGTGGTGCTGAGGATTGAACCCAGCGCCCTGCACGTGCCAGGTGGCGGACACTTTACCACTGAGCCACAACCCCAGCCCTGAAGAGTTTCTTTCAGCCCAAAAATTCACATATAGTCTTTGTCCTTTCTCCTCCAGTTGTGTCTTCTCCCATTTTCTTTGTCTTCACTTCATTATTCCATCTGTTTATCTTCTCCCCTCTGTAATTTTCTACCACTTCTTTTATTGTTTTCTTCCCTGTTATTCTCTCCCTTTCTTTAGTTTCTGGTTACCATCAGCTGGGAAAAGAGAGCGAAATCAGGTAAGATCACTTTTCCTTATCATCTTTATTTTATCATTTGATTTCCTTTTCTTTAGAAAGAATAAAACATTGGCTTCTGATTTTCCTCACATTTCTGCCTGTGCACAAGAGGTAAGGTTTCCTTTTCCCTACGTTATTCTGACTTTCTCAGAGGACTGTTCCCCAAGAATATCTGATACTTACTGATGAGAATTGTAGACACTTCCTCCTTTTGAGGTTTACCCATGATTGTCAGTTTCTTACTTATCAAGGGGATTCTGTTTTTATTTTTATTTTTTAATTTGTAGTAAGAAAGTAGAGTGAATCTTATCTGCTTATGGTTTAGTTTAGCACCAGAATCCTGTACTGTGAAGTTGTGAAGTCCTTTACTGAATGAAGCCTTGACATCTGAAGCAGAAGAGGGTAGAGCTGCTAGAGTTCACTATCTAAAAATTGCTCATAGTGGCTACTGTTAGGTTTATTTATGTTTGAAACTCTTTCATTTTTGGGCGGGATAGGGGTTTCTTTATCTTAGTAATGAGTTGTAGAATTGATGAAGACTGATGGGTAAAAATTTTCAGGTTTCTGTTGCTCAGTGGTTGGTTTGTTTTTTGGACTACTTAGTAGCATACCAAGTTGACGTACATTTTAGACTTGGAACTTTCATTGTAAAGTTGCTGTTTCAAAACGTACTAAAGCAGTGAAAGATGTAATCATCTCACGAGTTGATTTCACATAATTTTAAGTTATGTATTCAAAGAAATGTAATCACTACATCAAACTTACCACTTCTTGGAAACATAGTTAGGACAAGTCCACATTAAAATAATTGGCATAAAGAAAAGAACTAGGTAAACAGTATGTAGTAGAGAGTCAGGTAAGGAAAAAATCACGAAGGCAACATTCTTAAGTTAGAGCTCTGATCATGTTCATATCAGAGAATTCAAAGGCAGAAGGATACCTGTGGTCATCACCTACTACAGATCTGTTAAGTACAAATGAGGAACTGGAGGTCCATGTATTGTAAAATGTTTGCCCAAAGTCATACAGCAAGTAGAACAGGGTCCAGCACCTTTATGGCTTAGTATACATTCTTATATTCTTTTGAAGTTGTCATTCAAAATTCTTCCAATCTTTTTTAGAAATTGTTTTGTAGTTGTAGATGGACAGAATGCCTTTATTTTATCTGTTCATTTTTATGTGGTGCTAAGGATTGAACCCAGTGCCTCACACATGCTAGGAAGTGCTCTGCCACTGAACTACAGCCCAGCCCTCTTTCAATCTTAAGATGCATTAAGTTGCTGACAATGGGCTATTTTGGGAAAAGTCCAAAGAAAACTTAACGTAAACATAAAGCAAGGTACTTTTACACATACTGTATTCCATTTGACCCTCACAGCCCCCTTTTTGTTTTTGTGCTGGAGATGAACCCAAGGCTTTGCACATGCTAAGCGTGTACTCCACCACTGAACTATTACTCTGTTCCTCATGGCTTACCTTTTGAGGTCAATAAATGTTTACAGATGAAAAGTTGAAATTATTTTGAAACCTTAAAGCAACATTTCAGTTAGCCTTTAAAAAAAAAACAAAAAACCCTGTAACATATAATCTGCAGATGAGGATAATACAACTCAAAGAGGCTTTGTCATTTTAAACACTGAGCGACTTGATGGACTGAGATTAGGTATTTCAATTCTAGTGTAGTGTAGTCTCTTTTTGCTATACTGTGCTGCTGGTCTGTGCTCACTAGTTACTGTTAAAAACATTTGTCAGAATAAGGGAACAAAAAAGGTAATTTTGCACTAGTCTTCTTGGGAAAGGAGGCTGATAAACAGTTGATAATCATTAGATGTAAGTTCCTGTGATGCTAGTTGGAAAATACACTCTTGTGCCATTTAAATATTTACTGGGTATCAGAAGTTTTTGAAGAACTATTGTTAAACAAGGAATTTTTTCTTTGGAGATGTGCTAGATGAGTTATGCCACACTCCTGGGCACACTATTAACTGTGCACAACCTTATGGAATGGTGTCTATGTTAGTTCGACAGAGAATTGGATAATCAAAGAAAAGTAAATAGTAGGCTGCCCTTTGGGAACAGGTCTCTTTCATTTAAACCTTACTAAAAAAATCTTATTTATCCCCACAGTTTAATCCCCTTTCTCCTCTTTACTCCCTGGATGTTCTTGCTGATGCTTCTCATCGAAGATGTTCACCAGCACACTGCTCTGCCAGGTATTGTTGTTTAGTGACTGTTATTTTCTTCTGGACATTATTTTCTTCTTTTATAACACTTCAGATTATAAAGTTTGTATATAGGTCCAATTTTATCCATACAACCTTCAGAGATAAATAGATGTTTTACAGATGCAGAAACTGAGGCTGAGGGCTGAGGTGTCTTTGCTGTGGTCACATGACTGGTATGTGATTAAGTCTCAACTGTGACCTCAGTCTTCTGGCTCATATTTCATATTATTTCTGCTGCTAAAAGCCCCATCTTCAAAGAACATTATTAATGTTCCTTGCCATGACCTGCAAAACCCTGCATAATCTGATTTCTGCCTACTTGTCCAGCCTCCTTTCATATAATTCTTCCCCCTCTCTGGGGAAGAGATCCATCTGCACTGGAGAGCTCCGTTTTGTTCTTCAAAAAGAACAGGCTTTTCCTGTCTCAGACCTTCACTCTTGTTTCTTTTGCTTGGAAACCTCTTCGAGGTCCTACTCACCACAACTCAGTTGTTACCTCTTCAGGGAGGACCACTCAGACCACCTTCCTAAAGGGGCAACCTGCAGTACTCTCTATTCATTGTGTTTCCTTCCTGTTTAGCTCTTACCACAATCTGTAATGCTTTTACGTAGTAGTTTTTTTATTTCCCCCCACATGTCTCTTGCACTAGAATAGCAGCTTCAAAGGGCAGGGATCTTGCCTTGTTGTCTAATAATTCCCCCTAGCATCTGTGTCTGGCACTTGTTAGTTGTCTGGTATTGTCAAATGAATGAATCTTATGCCTCTCATTGTGAATTTTCTTAATTTAGGTTTCATGGAAAGTACATATAGTTTTATAGAATTCCTCAGCAGGCTTATTGTGGACAAAAGAGCAGCTAACTGGTGGACCTTAGAATTATTATTTCTGGTAACATAAAGAATTTCTTTTCAAGTTCTGATGATTTTCTTTCTTTCTAATAAATTCTTAAATAGATATACTCATAAATTTTGGGTGCAGGCTACACAAAGAAGTTGTTCTTTTATAGAAGTATTTGGAACGGTGTACCATAACCTACTGCCAGCTTTTTCTACTTGGAGAAGTAGCATTTCAGTGGGGAAAAATCTTTTGAAAAGAGACCATTAGGAGTTGGGGTTGTGGCTCAGTGATAGGGCGCTTGCCTACCATGTGTGAGGCACTGGGTTCAATCCTCAGCACCACATAAAAATAAATCAAGATATTGTTTCCATCTACAACTTAAAAAAAAGAGAGTTCATCGTAAATGGTGTTAATAAGAATGTAGAAAATTGTGGGCCCATGTAAACTGCCACCGTAAGGCCTTTCCTTCAGTATCATCCTGTTTACTCATCACTCATTCGTTCAACATTTGCTGACTCCCTACCATGTGCCAGCCTCTTTTTCAGGTACTTCCCTAAAGGAGCTTATATTCTTGTGGGAAAGTCAGTTATAGAAACTGACAGTTGCAATAGCGATTTGTATCTGGATGATACAAAGTATAGAGGAGAGCCCTAACTTAAAGGTTTAGGGGAGATTTTCTTAGAGGTGGTGATGCTCAGAAAGCCTTAAGAATTCACTCCAAGCCAAGTGTAGTGGCACACACCTGTAATACCCTGAGGTAGGAGGATGGTGAGTTCAAAGTTAGCCTCAGCAACTTAGCAAGTTCCTGAGCAACTTAGTGAGATTCTGTCTCTAAATAAAATATAAAAAGGCTGGGGATGTGGCTCAGTGGTTGAGTGCCCTTGGGTTCAATCCCCAGTAACCAAAAAAAAAATGTTCACTGCACGGGAGAGCAGTCCTCTAGCTTTTTGTCTTGATACCAAACAAATTAATGGCTGTGTATACTCTGGGAAGAAGGTATGAGCTTATGAGCTTCACCCTGTCATATCCAATACTCAAAATAGATTACTTTGCTGTCTTCCCTTTTCCTCTGCTGCTTAGAGCTGTGCTGTGCTAGGGTCAATATCAGTACTTTCCTTAGATTTTAATTCCTTTAAAAGTCTCAGCCCTCTGGCTGGGATAGGTGGCAGTTTCTTATTTCTTTGTGTATCTCATTATTCACATCATTATCTTCATTCCTTTACCTGGCTTGCTTGTGGATGGGCTGGGAAATACTAGGAAGTCTCAGCCGAGCTTTGGTACACTTGGCTCTAGGGAAATACTGGCTATTGCTTTGGACCACTGCTAAAAGCAAAGGAGAGAAACTGTGAACAATTATGGATAATCTTTGTCCTTACTCCTGGGTAGCATTCCCAGGCTGGTGAGTTCTAAGTTGCATGCAAGAAGTTCTTGAAAGTAGGGGTAAAAAACTTTTTTAAAGTTCACATTTATTTATTAGCTTATCTTTGAAGTTTTTTTGTTTTAAACTGTATACCTATTTGTCTACTAGCACATGTTTAATGTGTACGTACATAATATGCACACACATAATGTATTATATATAATAACTATTTCCTCAGAGTTTTTACTGAATGAGGGTTAGTCAGTCAAGTTTAGCAACCACTTCTCTGTGGGAAATAATCAGCACAAGTGACCTCTATGCAGTTTCCAGGAAATGTGAATGATGAAAGACTTAAGTTCTTGGAGGTACCCCTGCCTAGCATGAGGTCAGTAGAGAAGGTGCAGTCCATCTCCAGTGTGAGGGACTGAGGAGACTGGACTTGGAACAGGGCAGTGGGTTTTGTGAAGAGGTGACCATTTAACAAAAGCCTGGCCCGAAGGAGGGAATGTAAACTGAGGAGTGATGGCAGAGAAGAGGCAGCTGACTATGTTAAAAAGTGTTTTGAATGGAAATTTTTTCTTTTTCTTGTCCCATTTTATTTGTAGTAAGAAAATATTTCTTTCAAAGCATTTAGGCAGCAGTGGGAATTTTACACCCATCATTAGAACAATTCGTGTGTGTGGTGACTATGTTATCATTAGTGGTATAATTTTATTTTGCAAAGAGAGAAGTGTTTCCTGTTTTATCACAGCTTTCCCCGAGGAGGGCTGGTGTATTAATTTGCTGTATTGCCTCCTGGCTGTTCCCAGGCTGTTTTTCCTCTTCATCATGGAATTTTTAATGGCCCTCATGCCTCTTGGGAAGCATGTGAGGAAGAGTTCCTCCGGGAGAGCTTCCCTTTTTTCACATGCCTATAATTACTCTCCTTTAAGAGCACAAAGAATCTGATAATCATGCCTGGACTATGAAGGTTCTCTCCTGTCCTGGAACTGAGCTGAGGCTGCTGCTTGCCTGGACACTGCCAGTTGCACTCTACCAAGCACTCAGCTATTGCATGAGAACAAGGCCACCTCAAGATCCACATATAGCTCGGGGTTCTCAGCATAGGCCTGGGGGCATCTGGAGGGAGGCAGCGATGAATAACCTCTTTTTTAGTATTTCATTGCTATAAACAAAAAGTAATGGGACTGTAATTTTAAGATAACACTATGGATGTGTCATTTTAATGCAGCTCAGATGGCCGGGCAGTGGGTGCAGGGGGAATTTTGTGGTCTTTTTACCATCTAATAGATTTGTGAATTAAGGGGTTTTCAGAAATACCACTCTAAAAATACTTAGTTTAGGGTTTTGGAATTGCCGTTTGGAATCACCTGAGAAGCTTTAAAAAATATATCCATGCTGGGCCCCATCTCCAGAGATTCTGATTTAGTTGGTCTGGAATGAGACCCAGGCATTGGCATTATTTTAAAGCTCTTCAGGTGGCTAATATGCAGCCAGGGTTAAGAACTGTCATCCCAAATGCATATGGTTTGAATAACGATGCTTTGTAGTTTGCTTAATAAGGACTCACATTGCAGAATTGGCACAATCTCTGTACTTTGGCATCATGAGCATGACTCCTCACGGGAGGTAGGCCTCTAGACTTCGCTTTGGAGAAGCCACTGCAGATGAAGGAAAGTGTTAGTATCTAGCACAGTGCCCAGCACATAGTGATAAATGGGGAGGTTGGAGGCTTGTTGGATAGATGAATGGACAGTTATATAGTTGGCTGGGTGTGTGGATAAAATTCACAAACTAACTGTTTTGTTTGTTTGTTTGTTTGTTTGTTTTGGTTGCTAGTACTGAGATTTACCATTAAAGTAGTAATAGTTTGTGTTTAAAATTGCTGCTGCTCAAACAGCAGATGGTGTGATTGGTGCTCTGATAGAGGCAGGGGTATTGTTGTCAAGGGCACAGTCACAGATTTGTGATGAGACTAGAGCTATAGCTATAGGCAGCCTTTCCCAAAATGAGAGATTGATTGTGATGGATAGCTTTTCTTACCATTATTATCTATAGGAAACACTATTTAGAACTTACCAATTGCTACTGTCTGCTCTTTGTAAAATGTACAAGTCACCAGTTGTCATTATTGAGTATTTCATAGCAGTTAGATTTTTCTCCAACTTTCATGACTTTTCCTCTGTTTTGGATGGTGATTGGTAATGCACCACTATTTCCATTTCTTCTTTCTTAAATTCTAAAATAGCAAAGCAATTGTTTTATATCTTATTTAAATAAGTCTGTTCCTTTGTAAATAGACAGCTTTTCATTTGAGAAATCTCATTTTCATTTCCAGTAAGAGTGACAGATGCCAGCTTGGTATACAGATATTATATGTGTTCTTTAATGAACTAATGAAAAGTCTCATAGTTTTTGTGTTTTTTTTTTTCTTTGTTGTGATATCCTGGCAAAGTCAGTATGAGATTAAGAGTGTGGGTATGAATGTGAGGCAGACACAGGTAAGAATCTTGGCTTCACTTGGGCAAATGACAACCTCCCCATTCTCCAGTTACTTATGTTTAAAGTGAAAGTACTAATACTTTTCTTACTGGGCTGGTGAGGATTGAAATGAAATAATATACATGAATATTTGATATCCTGGTAGCAAACATTATTTTTCTTATAGAGTTTCTTCCCTATCCTGTCCTTAGGGTAACTGTAATTTTAAGAACTTTGAATTAGCTTCCAGAGTCATTTGCTAATAAGATGTAGTACAGATTCTTGAGAACCTTAAATGGCCTCAAATAGCC